CTCCTGTGAACCCCCTTTATACCAAAACGCTGCCAATACGCCATTATACACACTGCAAAAAATGGAAATCTAAATAAGTCATTTTTGCTCAAATTAAGTGCATTTTTTATTGAATTCAGGAGGTAAGTGAGACACTTTGCCAATGGAACAAGACAATTTACACTTAAAATAAGAAAAAACAATTGCTTTGTCTTATTTCAAGTGTATATTATCTAATTATCTTATTTTAGGAGTAAAAATACTCATTCCATTGGCAAATCATCTTGTTTGCCTGCTCAAATTAAGGGTAAATACACTTAATTTAAGACATGTTTACTTATTTCTAGATGTTTTTTGCAGTGTTGAGATGACATGTGTTGTGAATTTGAGATATAGAAATAAACTGCATTGATTTGAATGTTGTTAAGAGGGAGATCTCAGCCGCTGTGACACCATTAGAAGCTAAAACTGCCTCATTTGGGACTGCTATTCATGATATGGAGCGGGCTGCTAATGATCAGGAGAGGAGGCTAACTGCCCTGGAAGCTGTTGTCAGTAGAGGATGCAGAAGATACATTCGGATTTATGATACTCAAATTTCTTTTGTTTGGAATTGGAGGGTATGTGATGTATCTACAATTACAGAAGATGTTGGCGACAATTTGGGCATTGATCAGGCTGCTGGCAGCGGTTGATATGCTGTGAACAAGCAGGACTGTGAGCTGAGTCGTATGCTGGGTGCTACTGAACACAGGCTGGCAGTGGTGGTTGAACTCAAAGGTGAGATGGGATAATATCTTGGATGTGAACACTCAGTTCAAGGCAGAAAAGGCCAACACATATTGGACTCGTCACATGGAGCCAGTAAAAAAAGACTCAAAGCCTGACGGCAAATTCCTGCTCTTAAAACAAAAAGTGTTATTTTGGATTCAGCCTCCACTTATCAAAACTCTCCTGGATGTTATGGTGGAAGGGTCCAGAACTGCCAGCTCAGATTGTTCTCATCCAGAGTTGAATTATTCATTTGTGCACACACCTAGTGGGTGAAGCTGGTTCTGATAATCACCCAGAAAAGAAGTGGACTGCTGCTAAGATGAAGCAAATGCTGGATCAGAAGATTCTCATAGTGATTCGCCCTCAGGTGCAAGAAGGTTTCAGGTTTCAGGAAGGTTTTGTTTAGAAAAGCAAACAGTGGTTATGAACAAACCCCGTAAGGTATTTGGACTTCACCACTCATGCACCGTCCCAGAAATCGAACAGATATGCTGCAGGAAGCTGCCCCCTTCTGGTGGTAGCAGGTGTTTGCTTCCTGTAAGGAATTCCTCTAGAATTCATCAACATCTCTGGATTTGAGTTTAGAAAAGGTTCATCAGATCTGTTCTTGACATCATCAAATCCTGGCTTTTTATCTGGGGTGTGTAAACTTTAATTCCCAGCCTACGTCTTTACAGACATATTTAGTTTGTGAAGATAAAATGGTGAGACAAACATGAAGGAGTAAACAATGCAACATTTACATCCAATGAAGAAGATGATGATGACGAGCAGACCTTTGTAGACTGGATAAGTGTGACATTGAGGGGGAAGATGCAGAGCATCGTCTTCCTGCTCCTGTAGCTGGTGGGTTACATTCAGCCTCTACAGCTGCAGGTGAAGGTGTGCGCACAGCAGAGCAGGAGCAGAAGTCTAAGCTAGCAGGTCTAGTCATGCAGAGTAAGAGCAGACCTAGTGCAGCAGCCACAGCGTGGTTTCCATGCAAACACAGCCAAGCAGAACACAGCAAACAGAAACAGCAGATCTACTAAAACCTGTGCAGCTGCTTCCTACTTACTTCCAGGTTGCTGTCTAGTGATCCTGCACTGCTGCGTCTCCCACGCTTTCCTGTCCAGAACACGTGACACGACAGATTAGACATGTGTGGATTAAACATGGAGGTGCACGGCTCCCTTCTGTCTGCTGCGGGACATGCTAAAGGTCTACGTCTATCTGGAGCCTGCAGAGGAACCTTAAGATGTCTAAATTTGACATCTCATATC